TCGCGTATAATAGGCACGGTGTGCTCGCGCAGTTCGAGCGCAACTTCGTTGCGCGTGAAACTTGGCGCGAGGCACTACCGTGCCTCTTGATACACGTAATGATTCAAACTGAAATTTCAATTCAAAAATTCATCTAGGACACATCTTGATTTGCATCACATTAAATGAAATATCTAATTTACTTCTCTCAAAATTAAAAAATCCATTGCGAAAAATAGTTCAGGAGTCGAACTCGAATCCTCCCGTTTATTTTCTGTTTTTGTTGCATAGCGGCCAATGTATCAACTATTTTTCTTTTATTTCTANCCATTAAATTAGAGTAAAACTATCACAAATATAAATATTTGAAGTTTTTACTTCGATCCGGCAAATATAGTTATTATGGAAGGCAATAAAAGTAAAAGAAAAAGTCATGTAAATGTCGACCAATTATGGAAAAAATGGTTTATAATTAAAATAAATAATGAAGCTAAGTGCCTAATATGCGGAATAACCATCACTGCTAAAAATTATAATATAGAAAACGTTATAAATCTAAACATGAATCTACACATAATAAAATTGAAGAAGTAGAGCGAATGGAACTTTTAAAAGAATTAAAATTGAGAGTCATTGATTATGAGGTAATTTTTATTTATATATCATAAGTATTTTAATATATATAATTTTTTTAATTATAATAATATAATTAATGTGTATAATTTGATATAATAAATTTTATGTTTTTTTAATAATATATTTTTCTAATAATAATAATAGGCAGAAGAATCGGATCTTGCATCTGCTAAATACGCGAGTTACAAAATCTCACACGCAATTGCACGAGAGTCACGACCGTTTACTTGTGAATCTTCTATAAAAAAGTGTTTAGAGATTGCGGCAGAATCTGTGTGTCCAAATGATATTGGAAAAGTTAAAGCAATTAGAGTGTCCGCTCGTACTGTAGCACGTCGCGTTGAAAATTTTAGTGCAGATCTCGTGCGACAGTTAGAATTAAAAGCGAAAACGTTTATTGCCTATTCATTAGCGCTCGACGAAAGTACCGATATCACAGATATTTCCCAACTGGCGATTTTTTTTCGTGGAGTGAATAATAATTTAGTAATTACAGAGGAGTTATTAGATATTATATCTTTGAAAGATACTACAACGGGAGAAGATGTAATAAAGAGTGTAGAAAAAGCAATGACAAATATCTCGTTGTCGTGGGAAAACTTAGTTTCGGTTGCTACCGTTGGTGCTGCAGCAATGGTGGGACAACATGCTGGATTTATAGGACGTCTGGAATCAAAATTAAGATCGCAATCAAGACAAGAAATATATTCCATACATTGCATCATTCATCAGAAAGCATTATGTGCAAAATCCCTGAAATATGAGGAAGTAATGAAAATTGTTATTAAAGTTGTCAATTTTATTAAAACAACAGAATTGAACCATCGCAAATTTCTTGAATTTTTAAACTTTTTAAATTCAGAATATCAAGAGGCACGGTAGTACCTCGCACCAAGTTCACGCGCGCGCAGTGCGCCCGAACGCGAAAATGAAGAATTTTAGGAGTGGGAAAAAATTCAATCAGCACTATCTTAATACTGACTAAACCGATCGGCATTATTCTAGTCTCAATCGATTCAGGTAAAAAGGCAGAAAAGAAAAGTATTAATGTGTTTTTTTTTCCAAGGCTTGTTTTCAAAGCTGTTTACAGAAAACGTTTTGACTTGTAATTTTTCACGTTTTCTGACTAGAAAGGCAAGTAGTGAGAAAAAACGACCGGCTAGGTGGTGGGGAAACACGACCGGCTAGGTGGTGCAGAAAAACGACCAGCTAAGTGGTGGGGTACTGTCAGTTTATTTGTGGTGTGAAAAATGGTGCCAATATACATGCGCCTACACTGTGAAAGAGAGTAAGAAAGAGTGAAAAAGAAAGTGAGAGAGAGTGCAAGAAAAAGTAAGAAAAAGTAGGATAGAACATGAAAAATAGTCAGAGAATGTAAGAGAAAATGAGAAAGAGTACGAGAGAGAGTGAGAGAAAGTGAAAGAGACCACAAAAGAGTGCAAAAAAAAGTGAGAGAAAATGCAAGAAAGAGTGAGAGAGAATAGAATAGAAAATGAGAAAGAGTGAGAGAGTGTGAGAGAATGTCTTATAGAGTGCGAGATAAAGTAAGAGAGAGTAAGAAAGAGTGCGAGAGAAACAAAGAGAGAGTGAGAGAGAGAAAGACAAAATTTAAGAGTACGAGAGACAGTGAGAAAGTGAGAGAGAATAAACAAAAGTGGAAAAAAGATTGTGAGAGACTGCGAGAAAGAGTGAGAGAGAGTAAGATAGAAACAGAGAAAGAGTGGGAAAGTGTGAAAGAACGTGTTATAGAATGCGAGAGAGAGTAAGAGAGATTGAGAAAGAGTGCGAGAGAAACTGAGAGAGTGTGAGACAGAGAAAAAGAAAGTGTAAGAGTGTGAAAAAGAGTGAAAGAGAGTGAGAGAGAATAAGAAAAAGTAGGAAAAAAAGTGAGAGAGAGTGCGAGAAAGAGTAAAAGAAAGTGCAAGAAAGAGTGAGAGAGAGTAGGATAGAAACTGAGGAAGTGTGAAAGAAAGATAGAGAGAGAAATTGTAAATGTGCGAGAGAGTGGAGAAGAGTGCGAAAAAAAGTGAGAGAGAGTGCGAGAAAGAGTGAGAGAGAGTGCGAGAAAGAGTGAGAGAGAGTGCGAGAAAGAAAGAGAGAGAATAAAATAGAAAAATGAATGAGTGGGAGAGTGTGAGAAAAAGTGTTATAGAATGCGAAAAAGAGAGAGAGAGATAGAGTGCAAGTGACCACGAAAGAGTGCAAAAAAAAGTGAGAGAGAGAGCAAGAAAGAGTGAGAGAGAGTGCGAGAAAAAACGAGAGAGAGTAGGATAGAAAATGAGAAAAAGTAAGAGAGTGTAAGAGAGTGTCTTATAGAGTGCAAGAGAGAGTAAGAAAGAGTGATACAGAGTAAGAGAAAGTGCGAGAAAGAGTAAGAGAGAGTAAGATAGAAAAAGAGAAAAAGTGGGAGAGTGTGAGAAAATGTGTTATAGAGTGCGAGAAAAAGTAAGAGAAAGTGAGAATAAGTGCAAGAGCTATAGAGATAGAGTCAGAGAGAGAGAGAGAGAGAGAGAGTGATAGTGACCACAAAAGAGTGCAAAAAAGAGTGAGAAAGAGTGCGAGAAAGAGTGAGAGAGAGTAGGATAGTAAATGAGAAAAAGTGAGAGAATGTGAAAGAGTGTCTTATAGAGTGCGAGAAACAGTAAGAGAAAGTAAGAAAGAGTAAGAGAGAGTGCGAGAAAGAGTGAGAGAGAATAAAATAGAAAAAGAGAAAGAGTGGGAGAGTGTGAGAGAAAGTGTTTTAGAATGCAAAAGAGAGAAAAAGTGCGAGAGAAAGTGAGATAAAAAGAGAAAAAGTGTAAGAGTGAAAGAGAGAGTGAGAGAGAATAAAGCAGAATAAAAAAAAGTGGAAAAAAGAGTAAAAGAGAGTGCGAGAAAGTAGGATAGAAAAAAAGAAAGAGTGGAAGAGTGTGAGAGAGTGTTATAAAGTGCGAAAGAGAGTAAGAGAAAGTGAGAAAAAGTGCAAGAAATATAGAGAGAGAGTGAGAGAGAGAGAAAGAAAGAGAGTGACAGTGACCACAAAAGAGTGCAAAAAAGAGTGAGAGAGAGTGCGAGAAAGAGTGAGAGAGAGTGCGAGAAAAAGTGAGAGAGAGTAGGATAGAAAATAAGAAAGAGAGGGAAAGTGCGAGAGAGAGTGCAATAGAGTGCAAGAGAGAGTAAATAAGAGTTAGAAAGAATGCGAGAGAAACTGAGAGAATGTGTGAGAGAGAGAGAAAGAAAATGTAAATGTGCGAGAGAAAGTAAGAGAGAGTGAGGAAGAGTGCGAGAGAGACTGAGAGAGAGAGAGAAAGAAAGATAAAGTGTAAAAGTGCAAAAACGAGTGAGTGAGAGAGAATAAAAGAGTGGAAAAAAGAGTGAAAACAAGTGGGAGAGAAAGTGTTATAGTGTGCGAGAGAGTGTAAGGAAGAATAAGAAAAAATGCGAGAGAGAGTGAGAGAGAGAGAGAGAAAGTGTAAGAGTGCAAGAGAGAGTGAGAGAAACTGAAAGAGACCAAAAAAGAGTGCAAAAAAAGTGAGAGAAAGTGCGAGAAAAAGTGAGAGAGAGTACGAGAAATAGTGAAAAAGAGTAGGATAGAAAATGAGAAAAAGTGAAAGAAGTGAAAGAGTGTGTTATAGAGTGCGAGAAAGAGTAAGAGAAAGTGAGAAAAAGAGCAAGAGATACTGAGAGAGAGTGAGAGAGAGAGAGAGAGAAAATGTAAGAGTGCAAGAGAGAGAGAGTGAGAGAAAGTGAAAGAGACCAAAAACGTGTGCAAAAAAAGTGAGAGAGAATGCGAGAAAGAGTTAGAGAGAGAGCGAGAAAGAGTGAAAGAGAATGCGAGAAAGAGTGAGAGAGAATAGGATAGAAAATGAGGAAGAGTGAGAGAAGTGTGAGAGTGTGTTATAGAGTGCAAGAGAAAGTAAGAGAGAGTGAGGAAAAGTGCGAGAAAGACTGATAGAAAGTGAGAGAGAAAGAGAAAAAGTGTAAGAGTTTTTTCCATTCCATCGCTACGGCGCGATAAACTGGACTATCCTTACGTTGGATGCATGCTGATTAGCGGATCTTTATTAATTAATATTTTGTTAATTATTGCGAATCTTGCAAAGTGGTATAAAACTTTTTGTCTTAGAATAAGTCCTTCTATCTTCCTACAAGTGGCTGGACGGCAATTACCATACACTCTTTATAACATATAAGTTTACATACATATAACATTTTATGTATAATACATCTGTACCAAATTGTATATATTTGTATATTATATAGTTATATATTATATATTTATATCTTTATGTACTAATTATGTAATATTTTTTTATTTTTAGGTATCCAGTGAATTAACAAACAATTATAATTAAAAATAATATTTTTTTTTCAATTAAAATTGATATATTTTTATTAGCATTTGTATACTTCTTCAGATATGTGAAGTAATTATGTTCTTTTTAATTTAATGGTGTTATTTTTTTTTATTTGTAAAAAAAGTGTATTTTTTGTTTAATTTGTAATAAAAAATTAATATAATATAATTACACACATAAGTAATTTTAATATTATGTGTCATATGTGTGTGTGTATGATTAGTGTATTTTTAAATTAGCATTATTGTATTTTCTAATGTAAAGTAATTATATTGTTTTTAATTAATGTTATATTTATATATATAACGTTATATTATTTGCACTATTATTAAAATAATAAATGTAATTTTGTTTAATGTGTAATAAAAAGTTAGTATATAAGTT